TCTGATTTGCGTTTCTGAAAACAATGGAAGATGCATCATTTCCAACCAAAACTGCCAGATTTGCCATGATGAAGGTGGTGGGGCTTTTAGCCCAGATCTGATGCAGCTGGACGACGTTTTGAAGGCTGGAGTTCAGTTCATGTCTGTATTCATATGGAGCAAACGCTCTGCATGTTTCTCAGCTGAAGAGGAAATCGGTTTGATGGCTCCATCATTAGGAGCCAAACCAACAACTGGAGCCGATTCCTGAAACGCTTTGCTGCCACGGCTGAATGAGGCGCTCCCTGCAAGGCCTGTGGGCGTGTGGCGGCCATGCCATCTGATAACATCATGTCTCAGTTCAGCATCTGTGGAAAAGTGTGTGTGTGTGTGTGTGTGTGTGTGTGTGTGTGTGTGTTTCTCGGCGCTCTTTAAAAGATGTATTGTTTAAGGCAACAGAAAAGGAAAACCAGAGCAAAACACAAATTCAGCTGTTTTCTCTGAGTTCTTTGTTTTCTTGATGTGAAACTTTTATAGATTTCGACAAAGCGGCTCTTCATGTTGTGTTTCTCATCTCTCCAGTCTGATCTGTGGATCTTTCTGATCTCTTCAACCTTTAAAAACCAAATGTCTCCATTTTCATCAAAACATTCCTCCATTCTCCACATTTCTCCCTTTTCTGTTCCCACTCTGTCGCTCCCAGTCTAAGCCTTAAAGGGACAGTTAGGAAGTTACTGAGGTGGGGTTCTGTGAGTAGTTGACACAGTCAGTGGCTTACCTGCAGCAGACAGAAATCCTTCTGAAGTGAGTTTTGAGTTCAGACCCGGATGGATGTGGAAGTGCCTCATATAAGGCACTTCTCCCCACGTTGCTGATCAATCAGCATATCAATGTGTCGTTATGGGTGAACGTGACTCTGGAGCTTTGATTGGTCAGTTTGACTAGAAACCAGTTTATAAATTCAGTTTATTTACCGTTTATGGGAGGTGAGCCACCAGAAGCAGACAGAGAGGTGGCAGAAGAACTAGATCAGAACCGCTGACTGATCGGTGACATGAGGAACTGAACGGTTCATCTGGACTCATCTGGACCTGCGGTGGTTCTGGATGGACGGATTGTTTCCACTGAGTTCTGTCGTCTTCTTCAGATAAACTCGCTCCAACTCCCCAGAGACCTGCTGTCAACTCGGCTCGGCATCCTGGAGAGCGTGATCCGGTGCTGCCTTCAGGCGCTCCTGGCTGACATGTTTCTGTTGCCAACCCAACCGGCTCCCTCCGGCTGTGCAGGAAGTCGCTGTCACCACGGAGACAGCGGCGCTCTGAGATCCCATGACACTTCAGATAAAAACGATGTTTCTTTTCCTCCCAGAGCATTAAATATGTAAATATTTCTTCAGATTTACAGCTTTTCTTTCCCTTTTTAGCAAATTAAACATTAAATGAAGCTGCAGGAAGCTCAGCTATAAAAAAAATTATGTTTTATGGTCAAATCTGAAATTTTGTCTAAGATTAGGTGGAAATATTTGGGTCTTTAGACATTACGTTGCTTATGAATGTGGAACCATTTTATGTACTTACTGCAGTAATGCATGATCTTATTAGCCTGCAGCAGTAGAAACAATATATTAACATTTCCTGGTGAAGCTGTTTGTTGATTCTTTATAGTCCGGTTTATTTGACTCGATGATGGATCAGCTGATAATCTTTTGTTTCTTTAGAAAACTTTTAGATGCATGTTGAGTTGATCCATCATGTTCTGATGAGTTTTCCAGTGTAATCCCAGTCTGTATTGACCTGTAGTTTCCTTCGTTCCTCTGAAGAACCTTTTGCTCCTCTCTGGTGTTCCACTTGGCTGAAAGTGTCTCTGAAAGCTCCTCCACATCTTTACCCCCTTCCTGTTATACACAACCATTTGTCTCCCTGACAACCAGCGGAGACCAGGAAGAGAATGGATGTGGGGGCGGCCATGGCAGTAGTGGTGTTGATTGTGGGCGGCAGGATGATAATGAGAGATAAATTGTGTTTCCTGCAGCTCATTGGTTAGCAGCTTGCTGATCACTCGCTGCTAAAAAGAGACTTGAGAGTGCCCCCTGCTGCTCTGGTTTAGTTGTGTTGGGCTTTGTGTTTCAGTGGAGATGAGTTTACAGGAATTCAGTGGTGGTTTCAAAGACAAAAGTCTGTTTCAGTGCTTCACAGTAACCTTAGCTGAGCTTACATTTCTATCTTCAGACTAAAATATTAACACATTAGTGACAGAGGGATTTGTGTCCCTTCATCATCTGCTCCACCTCCAGCTGCTGTGGTTCTGAGTCAAACCAACCTGTTCCCCTCCTGGCCTGTGGGGGCGCTGCACCAAGAACCCCTGAAGGAAATGACACAAGAACCTCTGAAGACACTGAGAGCAACTTCCTTCTTCACCAGATGGAAACAAGATGGAGGCGTCAGATTTTAGGAGAAGGATTTTGGCGGTTGGAGGATTTCTCCTTCGCTTGGCTAGCACGTTAGCTTTGGTTGTCTTTACCCAGAATGCCCTGCACTGTAGTCCACTTCCTGCTTTTTAGGCGATCTACGGTTCGATTAGCATTCGGACTTCACCAAACGGACTGGATTTGGATTAAAGCGACTGAGACGTCTCTTATTTTCTATAAATAGAAAAAGAAGCAAAAACAGTCAGGATGCAACCATGCTTTCATTTCGTCTAGATAATCATTTAATTCTTTCATGGATTTGTTATTTTCATTTTTAATATGCTGCAAGTAAATGATGGGTCAAAAGCTGTGAAGCAATAAACGTTAGGATGCTCCTGGTGCTCAGGTGAAAATAATTATTGTTTTTAAAATGGTTTGTTTTCCACAGGCGGCCAGATTTAAAACCGAAGCAGTTGGACTCTAAAACATCAGAATAAAAAACAAGTCAGGATTTCCTGTTTTATTACTTCAACTTTATTTTTACAGTTAATCACCATTTTCAGAAAACAGATTTTATGGACACTTGGATCTGGAGCAGGAAGTGATGCGTTTGTGCAGCTGAGTAAACTGACTGTTTTGCTGCTTTTATTGTTCAATAGTTGTTCATTAAATTAATGACAGAATCTGAATGTATATGAATATTCTGCGTCTCTAAACTTTATTGGTGGATAATATGTGATTATAGTTGGTCTCTGGAGAAAATCCGCTCAGTTCCTGGTTCAGGATGAATGTGACTGGATCTGTTTCAGTTTAACAGCTGAAAATATTCCAGGGATCAAATGAACCATTGAGCTGAATCTGAACCCTTTGATCCAGAGCCGGTGGATTCAGGTGAAGTTAAAGTAACGGAGCGGTGAATGTTTATGGGATGAAGTCGTTTTGTGACATGCTGCAGGAAACCGTCCATGTGAGCTGAAGCTGGTGGGTTCCTGTGGATTCGAGGCCTTCTCTTTGCAGAGCAGCAGTCACTGATTCGTCACACTCGGTGGCATGAGCTCTGGGAGATCCTCCGAATGAGTGGGAGATCCAGCATCCGTCCCCTCCCCCACCCGCTTCTGAAGAAACAGATGTTCCTCCCGGAATAAGCTAAAAATATACATTTATTAACATGCTTTTTATTTTGGAGGAGGCCTTTTGTTTTACAGCTGGATAAACGCTCAGGAAGCATCACGTTGATGGAAAACCTCGTTTAGTTCTCCGTTTCCTCAGAACCAACGTTCAGGTTTTTAATCCTGCAGAGACGGACGCGTTCATGGCACCTGCTGTCCGACTCTCCACGAATCAGAGCAGGCTTTCTTATGTAATGCTTCTGGGTTTCCCATGAGGGGTGTGTGTGTGTGTGTGTGTGTGTGTGTGTGTGTGTGTGTGTGTGCAGCACACAGATTATAAAGGACCGGTCTGTTTTGAGATGATCTTTGCCTGAGCCTGGAGTTCTTTCAGCCTCCTGGTTCTGCTGAGCATGTCAGCACAGAACCTCTGAGTCCAAATGTTTGGTGCCTCTCTACTGCCTCCTGGTGGACAAGCACTGCTCACACTGATCCTATATCCCTGATGCAAAAACACCCAGACTGTACAGGAAAGACTAATAAGGAATAAACTGGTTATTATTATTATTATTATTATTATTATTATTATTATTATTATTATTATTATTATTATTATTATTTTACCATACTTAGAAAATAATTGCACCTAACATACCAGCCTTTTTTTCAGATGGGCAAAAAAAGAAAATTAATAAAGTGGGAGAAAAAGAAGCAAAAGAGCCACCATGAGGGGGCGCTGCACTCTGACTAGTGACTTTTGTGCCTTTGTGGATTTATTTAGTCACTTTGCTGATTCTGCATCCATGTCATGTCCTGCAGTGGAGCTGAAGCCAAAACGTCTGAAATGAATCGTAGAGTTGTTTTCAAAATTCATAACTTTGACTTTAAAAACAAAAAAAATAAAGAATCACTTTTATTCTCCATGTTTATAAATGTTTTGGATCTGGGAATGGAGAAACAAACTGAGGGAAGAAACTGTCTCTGTAGCGCCACCTGAAGGTAAAAACCTAAACAGGATGTATCCAGGATGTGTGGGGTCTGCAGAGATGTTGGCTGCCCTTTTCCTGACCCTTGACCTCTATAGGTCCTGTATGGAGGGAAGGTTGATAGAGTGATGGATGGGATTATGAGCCAGAATAGTTTAATTAAATGACTGTAGCAGATTAAATGTTATTTTCTGTAAACTCCTGAAAACCAAACATCCCTGTTTTAGTTAGGACTTATCAGATGATGGGTTATTATAAGAAACAGGAAGACTCAGAAAGCTTGAGCACTGGTTGCTATGGTGATCAGGCCCATAGCATGACTCATTCCAAAAGGCAGGTAGAGAGTTAGACAGAAATATCCATGTTTTAGTGCGCAGTCTGTAGATGTGGAGATGAAATAAATCGAGTTTTAAATCAGAAAATTTGAGTTTGACGTTTATTTTTCAATAAATCTTAAACCTGAAGGGACTGAAAATGTTCTGTCTGATGAAACCCCTCATGGCTTCTTGTTTTCCTCTGCAGGTGGCCATTATTGCAGGAAACTTTGAGCTCGCCGAACTCATCAAGAACCACAAAGACTCTGATATAGGTGAGTCCAGATCGTTCCATTTTGTCCCTGCCGAGTCTCTCTTCCTCAATCTCACTCCGGATACATTTCAAATCCCCCGATCTTTTCATCCTCTTTAATGACTTTCCTTTATAATCCCCATGCTGGATTATCAGTGTGTTGCCGTGGGAACGAAAGTTTATCCTCGCACCAGGACAATCCCGGCGCTGATTTGGCCAGGAGTCCCTGGGCGTTAGGATGAGGGATGTTTGTCCTGCAGGAACTGATTAAATCAGGTTTTATTTCATTCAGTTGTTGTGTGGAAATGCGCTCTGGTTGGATGTGAAGCTGTAGAGCTGGTTGGGATTTTTTAACACGGATCTGCAAAAGAAGTCCTTCTCTTAGCAACCAAACGTCACCATTGTTTATTCAATTAGTGGTGTTTCAATCAATGCTTTTTATTTAAATGGCAATATTTGATATCTTCAGTTTGAGAAAGAGATTTTCACGCTGCCTTGAGCTGAGTTATTGTGCTAAAGAATAGATGGAAACAAATGTGTTGAATAAGTTCTGATGTAGCAAATGCTGCCACCCACTGCTGGGTCTGTGCCTTACCAGAGGCATGAAACTGAAAAATGGAAGAACTCTCAGTTTTTCTCACATCTGCAGTTCATGCTAGTTTTCCACCTCTACTTCCTGTTTGTTGCAGCCAGGCGAAGTCTCAACATCTGATAAAATGTTGCTTTACGTAGCCAGGTTGACTCCAAACCAGTGTCCACGAGTCCAAGTCAAGTTTCAAGTCTTTAAGTTAAAAAGTCGAGTCTGAAGTCGAGTTTGAGACTTTGACTTAAATCTGTAAGACTACTGATGCTTGGTGAATCTCCATGGCGACGGTTGTCCTTATGTTACTGCGCTGAGCTGCTTGACCGGTTGGAGGACTGAGCTGCAGTCGGTCTCGTTTTGTTGCCTGTTAAACTCAGGAAATGATCAGCTAGTTGGTTCAGGTTAACTCCTGGTCCTGGATCAGAACCGAGCGCCGCCGACCCGGTTCTACTGCCACAGAGACGGTTCAGGGATTAGAGAAAATGAGAAAAGAAGAACAAACAAATAAATAAAAAGTAGACGATGGAGGGAAGAGAACGATGAGTCTGAGGGAGGCAGTAATCTAATCTGAAGATGTAATCCTGCCATTGTTGACCTCATCAGCAGCAGCGACCCGATGAAAGTGGAACATGACCAAAACTTCTCTGCAGCTGTTGGAGCGAGCGCGTCCCGACCAGAACCTCCTGCCGTCCATTTCAACCCAAAGATTCATTTCTCAGGACCCGAGACCCAGAGACTCAGACCCAAACGAGCTGCACCTCCACCCTCCATCACCTCCACCCTCCATCACCCCCACCCATCGCCACCCCCACCCTCCATCACCTTCACCCTCCACCCACATCACCGCCAACCCCACCCTCCAACCTCCATCACCTCCACCCTCCATCACCTCCACCTCCATCCACCATCACCTCCACCCTCCATCTTTCCCACCCACATCACCTCCACCCACATCACCTCCACCCACATCACCCCCACCCACCATCACCTCCAACCTCCATCACCTCCAACCTCCATCACCTCCACCCTCCATCTTTCCCACCCACATCACCTCCACCCACATCACCTCCACCCACATCACCCCCACCCACCAC